CTGAGAAATGCAGTTCCTTTAGAAATTTCCCTCTAGTCTGTATCCTGTGTTCCTCAAATCCCTGCATATATAAAGGGATTCAAAAAGCCCAGGGGATAAGCAAGAACTTTTTACTTGAGCTAAAACATTTGCAGACTCGTCAGTTTCACTCAGTTTACCATGAAACTAGGCCTATATAAGCACTGTTTATTGCATCATAGTTCCTTCTGTGGCTTTTACAGGTCTTTCTCTAAATTTTTAGCCTGCAGGTAATGTACTGTGCAGTCATTTGTGACTAGAACTCCAATGACAAAAGTGTAAATGCTATACTAATGATATACTACATTTAGTTCAGTTAGATGGCATATAATAGTTGGCATACCAACAACACTCAATTTTATTCACAAATATGAATATAGCAGGTGCTCCAAGCCTTTGGCTCTGCTCTAGCAGGAGGTAAAATGCTCTATGTGGTCAGCTCTGGTTTCACAGCTTGGGTGATAATGATGATCCCACATCCCCTGTCTCCAGCTGCTGGCCACACAGTCATGATGGTGAGGAGATAATTTGGTTCCAGAGAGCAAGGGAGAGGGGAAGAGCTTCAGCCTTTCATCCTTAGTGGTCACTTGAGAGAAAGAGTTGCTAAGATGACCACCATTGTTTAGTTATATCAGTTATTTCAGTCATATCAGTGGTTGACAGAGCACCAGGGTGTTGATGAAGTACCAGAAACAGGCCAAACAGTAAAAAGGATCAGTGAGGAAAATGGCAGGAAAGTTATTAGGCAATACAAAAAGGTTGAGAGGAGTACAGAGACCACAAAGGAGAAGAGTCAGAAGGTGTCTGAGGAGGAAAGAGATTGAGACAGCATGGTAAAAGTGGAGAATTAATGAGTGAGCAAGGATGAGTAAATGTGTGAGGGGTGAAGTGGAATAAGAGAGATGCAGAAACGAGTGAAAGGAAAAGGTCATCGAGTGAATTTTGTCCTCTGAAGAATTTCTGAGTGTTGTTAAGAATCATCTCATGGCTCCGCAAGTCAAAGGAACGCTGTGTCTGACCTAAGCTGAGTTCACAGAATTCTTTCTTTTCATCTGTGCAACTTTCGTGTAATCCTCTCTGCCCTATTTTAATGCTTCCACCCCCCAATTCACTGTGTATTTTTATGTGATGAAACAGATCTCAGTGTTTTGCAGTGAGCCTTAATGTAAAGTACTAATTACTTGTCTGAGTATTTCCTGCACAACCACCTCTGTGGTTTACAGAGATGGTATAGCTGTGCAATCATGTCAATATGGAGCAAAATGTTAGCGGAAAGTTTCCAGCAGTTTGTTGAATCCATGTCATGAAGAATTAAAACAGTTCTGAAGGCAAAAGGGAGTGCAGCCCAGTAGTTGTATCTGCCCTAATAAAGTGTACATCACTTAATCATTTTTTAGTATTAATCAATAAAGGTAATTTAAATGAGTCTTTCGGACTGCCTCGAAGAGATTCTGGCAAACCGTCAGACGTCTCAGGAGGGGAAAGCGGTGCTCTACCTGCACTGTGTATAGTGCTGGCGGAGCGCTGCTGACGTCGACTGAGAAAATTGTCAGGCGGTGGAAGGAATACTTCGAGGACCTCCTTAATCCCACTGACACGTCTTCCGAGGAGGAAGCAGAGTCTGGGGATGAGGGGAATGACCCGCCAATTTCCGGGGGCGAGGTCACTGAGGCAGTTAAACAACTCCTTGGTGGCAGAGCCCCTGGTGTTGATGAGGTCCACCCCGAGTTACTGAAGGCTCTGGACGTTGTAGGGCTGTCCTGGTTGACACGCCTCTGCAATGTTGCGTGGAGATCAGGGGCAGTACCTGTGGACTGGCAGACCGGGGTGGTGGTCCCCATCTTTAAGAAGGGGGACCGGAGGGTGTGTTCCAACTACAGGGGGATCACACTCCTCAGCCTCCCTGGGAAAGTCTATGCCAGGGTGCTGGAAAGGAGAGTTCGTCCGTTAGTCGAACCTCGGATACAGGAGGAACAATGCGGTTTTCGTCCTGGTCGCGGAACACTGGACCAGCTCTTTATCCTCTCCAGGATACTTGAGGGTGCATGGGAGTTTGCCCAACCAGTCTACATGTGTTTTGTGGACTTGGAGAAGGCATTCGACCGTGTCCCTCGGGGTGTCCTGTGGGAGGTGTTGCGGGAATATGGGGTGTCTGGTCCATTGCTACGGGCCATTCGATCCCTATACAACCGTTGCAAGAGCTTGGTTCGCATTGCCGGCAATAAGTCGGACTCGTTCCCGGTGGGTGATGGGCTCCGCCAGGGCTGCCCTTTGTCTCCGGTTCTGTTCATAATTTTTATGGACAGGATTTCTAGGCGCAGCCAAGTGGCGGAGGGCTTTCGCTTTGGTGGCCTCAGAATCTCATCTCTGATTTTTGCAGATGATGTGGTTCTGTTGGCTTCATCGGGTGGGGGCCTCCAGCTCGCACTGGAACGGTTCGCAGCCGAGTGTGAAGCAGCGGGAATGAGGATCAGCACCTCCAAATCTGAGGCCATGGTTCTCAGCCGGAAAAGGGTGGAGTGCCCACTCCGGGTCGGGGATGAGTTCCTGCCCCAAGTGGAGGAGTTCAAGTATCTCGGGGTCTTGTTCGCGAGTGATGGGAGAAGGGAGCCGGAGATCGACAGACGGATTGGGGCTGCAGCTGCAGTAATGCGGATGCTGCACCGGTCCGTCGTGGTGAAGAGGGAGCTGAGTGTAAAAGCGAAGCTCTCAATTTACCGGTCGATCTACGTCCCAACCCTCACCTATGGCCACGAGCTGTGGGTAGTGACCGAAAGAACGAGATCGCGGATACAAGCAGCAGAAATGAGCTTCCTCCGAAGGGTGGCTGGCCTCTCCCTTAGAGATAGGGTGAGAAGTTCGGCCATCCGGGAGGGGCTCAGAGTAGAGCAGCTGCTGCTCCACATCGAAAGGAGCCAGCTGAGGTGGTTCGGGCATCTGACAAGGATGCCCCCTGGGCGCCTCCTGGGTGAGGTGTTCCAGGCATGTCCCACCGGGAGGAGGCCCCGGGGCAGACCCAGGACACGCTGGAGAGATTATATCTCTCGGCTGGCCTGGGAACGCCTTGGTATTCCCCCGGATAAGCTGGAGGAGGTGGCTGGGGAGAGGGAGGTCTGGGCCTCTTTGCTTAGGCTGCTGCCCCCGCGACCCGGCCCCGGATAAAGCGGATGAAGATGGATGGATGGATGGATAAATGAGTTTTAAAAGTTCAAATAAGTCAATACCACACCAGACATTTTGTGTAGGTACAGTCTATCGTTATGTTTTTAAGTTACTACGGATTTATTATTTTCTAATTGATTTCCAGTAACAAAGCAGATGTTCAGTGAAAACGTGACTTATTTCACAACTTTATTTTTTTTTTATTTGATGAAAGAAAAAATCAGTGTAGGCTCCAGCACCCCCCGTGACCCTGAAAAGGATAAGCGGTAGCGAATGGATGGATGGATGGATGGAAAAATCAGTGTATCCAAAAAAAATGCTGCTTGCACTACTAATAACATTGCAACTGAGGTAAAACTCCTCATTCCACGGACGTCACTCGTACGTAACTTCACGGTCACAAAAATTTACATCTGTGACTGAATTTTGTTTGACTCACCATTAAATATGGAACGAAGAACTTGAAAAGCACCACAGGCCATCATTTTTGAGCATGCCAGCAAGTGCAGCTTAAGTAGTGATAGCAGAAACCCAAAGGCTATAAATATACTCTCTTAAATTGATAAGCCATAGAAATTTAACTGAAGAGCACTTTTATTGTAATCTGTTACCACAGCAGTTAGAGAGGTAGGGTAGCTGTCATATGCAAGTGACTTAAGGATTGTGGCACAGAACTTACTAGTGAGGTATCTAAGTGACTCATTAAGTGATTCACTGATTCACTGTCGTTTGTGTCTAACCAAACAGTCATAAAATTGGATGGCAAGGTTTGCAGAGGCGTCCAGAGGCTTCATGGACAATATATACTTTTCATTTAACTGATTTATTTTCTTGGCAGTATTCTAATTTATGCATTAAGCATATTTCTCAACCTAACATATATGCAGACACTATTAATACAAAATGAGAACCTAGGCTACAACATATCATGCAGCAGCACGCCTCTTGACTGGTACCAGGAAATTTTGCCCTATTACTCCTGTTCTAGCTAGCTTGCATTGGCTGCCCATAAATTACCGTATTCAATTTAAAATATTCCTCCTTACATTCAAAACTATTAATAAATTAGCGCCAAGTTATCTTAGTGAACTTCTCAAATCACATACTCCTGCTAGAACACTCAGATCTGCCACTCAACTACTTCTGACCCAACCCAGATCTCGGCTGAAGTCCCGGAGTGACCATGCGTTTACTGTGGAATACCCTTCCTCTCGACCTAGGCGCATCTGATTCCATTGCACTGTTCAAATCACGACTAAAAACCCACTTATTCAATCTTTCCTTTCCCTCTAGTTAATATTTCTTTTATGATTTTATATCATGCACTTTTATGCTCATTTAAATTCTTGTTTGCTCTGTACCTGTTGCTTTCCTATGTATCAGTGACAGTTACCTGCTTGCATAGTTAGTACTTGCTTTGGTCCTATTTCTATTATCCTCCTCCTATTCTCTATCTTACTTGTTAAGCACCTTGGCATGCCCTTGGTTTTTAAGTGTGCTTTATAAATAAAGTTTATTATTATTAGTGCTGTCAAGAGATTAAAAAAAAATAGAGATTAATTAATTATGATTTTTAATTAATTGATCTAATTAATCTCTTTTTTTAATCTCACCTAAAAATAGCTGAGGAAAGCCCTCAACTTATTGTGGCAGACCAAAAGACTGATATAACAAAGAAAGTGACTTTATAAAGTCATTTATTGTTTAACAAATGTTAACAGATCAAAGTATTCTTCCATCACAAAAAAAAGTGCTGAACATCAAGCAATCTATTCTAGTAGGCTACAAATGACACAGCAGCTATGCTGACCACATGTGTCTCATTTCTTCTTCCTCAGCCAGTCGCTAAGACACACCAGCCTGGTAACATTTTCTGGAAGCAAGGCTGCCCTTTTCTTTTGCACTATGTGGCCTGCAAGGCTAAAGAGTCTCTCACAGGGTACAGAGGTAGCTGGGGAGGCCAGGTACTTTTGTGCTAGGACTGACAGCTTTTCATAGACTCCTGAGTGAGCATACCACCACTGCAGGGGACAGTCATCAATACTGATGCTGGGTTCTGCTCTGTAGCGCTGCAGCTCTCCAGACTCAATTCCATCTTCTGAGTCAGAGTCAGACCCCAGAAGGAGTTCGCTCCTCCTCTTTTTCTGAGCTGGTCCATCATCCTCTGTGGAGGGCTGGAGACTATCTGCTCTTCTGGGCTCTGCTGCCTGGAGCATATTCTCCAGAATGGTCCACACCTGAATGAATGAATGAATGAATGAATGAATGATTGTGATTAAAACTAAGTGCTTTTTTTTATTTTTTTTAATCTTGTAAAGAACTTTGTGTTCCATATAATAAATAAAAGTTTGATTTGATAATGAATTGGACTCATTAGTCCAGCTTAACCTTATTGTCCTACCTGTTCCCTCTTTTCTCTTGGAAGACATTTCAAATCCTTAAACCGTGGATCCAATGCTGTGGCCACCTCGAACCATATCTCGTTGCCATTAGCTCGTCGTGCTGCCAGATCCTTCTGGAAGGCATTCTTGAACTTCACCACGTAGGCAGGATCATCATCAGTAATGTCCATGACACGGTACAGATGGCGAAAAGCAGGCAGCACTACAGAGCAAGAGACGTAGGCCTCACCACCCAGCAGCTCTGTCACATACCTGCAGAGGTGGAGAGGTTTGCTAAATAAACCTAGCTGGATTCATTTAAATCAAAGTGTAACTGATTTCCAATTTAATTGTCCTTAAAAGTTCCTTGTTATGTTCATTAATTTTGATTTTACACATGTAACAGTAGTTTATATAATTAAAATGGGAAGGTGTTTATTTGAACTTACTTGCATGGTTCAAGCAGGAGCTCCAGCCTCTGCAGTTTCGCCCACTCAGCTTCGGTTGGCAAGACCAACCTGTGGTTCTGTTGGTCCAACGTAGCCTGGACAGCCTCTCGGTTACATAGGAGGCGTGAGACCATTGCGAGAGTCGAGTTCCACCTGGTGGGTACATCCTGTATAAGTTGATCGCTCTTCTTTCCGAGTGCTACTTGTTGTTGGTTAAGTTCTGTGGTACTCGCAGGGCTTTGTTTAAAATGACCAACAATCTTGCGGCACTTTGCCAGTACACCGACAAAACCACTGCTATCGAGACATACCGTGATGGTCCTCTGGAGAATGTGAGCATTGCAGGCGATGTGCTCATATGGAAGTGCTCTCATAGCAGCCAGCATGTTTGCTGCGCTGTCTGTGCCAATGGTGGATATCTTGTTTTCAATACCCCAGTCATTTGCTACCTTGAGGAACTGTTCGGCGCATTTATCAGCAAAGTGCCTGGTTTCTGTTCTCATGACGGTCAGTGCAAATGAGTTGAGGTTCCACTCACTATCAATAAAGTGTCCAGTCACCCCAAAATAGCTGTGGTTGCCAGCTGAGGTCCAGTGATCTCCGGTTATAGCAACACAGTTGGGAGAATCCTCCGCCAAAATCTCAAGTTTGTTTTTCTTTTCGCCGTCGTACATTTTGCTGATTTTGGTCGTTACTGTAGTCCTGCACGGCGGCTTGTATGACGGGTCATTGGACGCAATTTGCAACACCTCTGTCAATCCTTCGTCCTCTACTATATTTATCGGCCTACAGTTCATCGCTATCCACTTGGCAATAACATTAGTCAGCCTGTCGGTCGCAGACTTGCTCATACGAGGGGTATTCTCTAGTTTTGTTTGGCGAAAAGCTTTGCTCTGGCTTGCTATATTGCTAACGTCTTCACTGCTAGCTGTTGCTGCACTCGCGGCTGGGTGCTTTGCGTTGAGGTGATAGGCCAAACTTGAGCTGCTTCGGTGGTAAGCAAACTCCTTCTTACACTCTAGGCAGACCACTTTACCTTTGTCAATGGTGCCGTCGGGGCGTTTATGAAATACAAATTTCCCGTTCATTGGGCCAACAACTCTCAGATGCGCCTCCATATCCACACTGTAAGCTAATCACCACTTCTCACCTTGACCTCACGACGTGACTCCACCCCCAACAAGTCAAGCACAAGGAGCCCAGCACATAAAAACGGATTTTATAACATAGCAACTCTCATACAAAATCAATGACGTCAAGAGATTAAAAATTAGATTAACGAGATTAAAAAACATAACGCGCTAAATAGCATTGTAATTAATTAATCGCAATTAACGCGATAATTTGACACCCCTAATTATTATTATTATTATATCAGAAAGATTTCTTATAACCAGCAGCTGGATCAGTGGAAAAAGTGAATGACATCAACAAATTACTCAAAATGTACTCTGGCTGCATGTTTATTCCTGCACTGATTATAAAACTGAATTTATATTTTTTGTAGTGTTAAATGGTATTGGTCTGAATACATTCTTTCTACATAAGGGCAGCAGTGGTTGCATTGTGCACTGTCACTCACAGCAAAACTGTTCTGGATTTAAACATGCCAGCCATTTGGGAAGCTCCCGATCCATTCTTATTTATATTCTCATTTTTGATTTGCTTTATTTGAATTGTTTTAATTACTTTTTAATTACTAGCTAAGTACTTTGTAGCTTTGCAAAGAAAAGTGCATAAATAAAGTTTTTATTCCAACTCGTTGGATACTCTGGAAGATTGAGTGTGTCTGATTTTAGAACCGTGGTAGCACTCTCTCTATGTCACTTTGCGCTACCATGGTGAATTTGCTTCTATTTGTGCCCACTGGTGTGTGTCAAGTGAATTTGTATTCAGTTGTACCACAACGCACCTCAGCAGAGCAGGAACACAAACAGCCAGAATCAATCAGTTTGTGCGATCCTTCTCTTGGCAAGCTTTCTGAAGAGGGACCAAAGACAAGGAACAGCATTGTTAACCAGTCAGAAAATGCCTTTAAGTTAAGAGAGGCAGACATTTTTTAAAATAAAAAGATAATTAAACTAAATCTACTAATTGTGAATCAGTTAGAACAAAGCCTTTTCATAGAAATGATTATTTGTGTTACTATTTTACTCAGAGGTTTGACATTTAAAAAATATATATTTTCTTACATGTTGACTGGGTAGATGCCATCATTTTTTAGAGAGCAGATATCTTATTTTGGAAAGGTGAATAACCCTTCTTATTGCACGGCACGATTCCCAAGGAGCATCTTAACACTGTCGGCAAGTAAAAAGAGACGTTAAGATGTGAGGCTTCACTTGTTGTCAGAGGAGACCAATTTCAGGTAGAAATTCAAGGTAGTTGAATTTATAGATTTTCCCTTATCACTACTCAGGTTGGAGATATAGGGTTGGCATTTTCTATCCGCTCTGTGTGTCATCTCCTTTTCATGGAGTTTATACTGGATGTGTTGGCATACTGCATTAATGCATATTTCTATGGGCTATACTCCCTGGTTTAAAAAAAGAAACGTGTGTGTGTGCGTTATTGAGATTCACTGCATATCACTTCCTTGATCATACACTTAGATGCTCTAAAAACACTGGCTCACAAATCAACTCAGACTGAATCATATTCGTTTTTTTTCACACATTTTATATACAAGCTGTTTCTCTAACTCAGACACATTCACACAGAGAATCACGACTCTTCTCTCACTGAATGCTTTGTCTAATATAACTCTCTACAGAGCTTTTATATACTATCCATTAGGCTACATACATAACAGTCTAAGAGTAGCACCGAAGGTCATAAATGCAAATACATACAAGACGCTTGTGAAACTGGAATGCATAGTACACACAATGTAAAAAAAAAAAAAAATCTATAAAAGTATGGTACAATATATTCTGTTTAAAAATGAAGGAATTCTACATATTAAGTTTTTTTTCTGTATATTTTTAACCACATATTGAATTGAAATAACTTTGTCCTTGATCTGTGACTTAGTTTTATTACTTTGTACCAATTTGCTGGCATCATGCTATTTTGCATTGTACATGTCTTTTGTTGATACTTTATGCAAGATGCAATTTTGTTTAAGTACAGAAAAATAACACAGTGTAAAATATATGGTGCTACATTATACTCACCACAGTTCAACTGATATGGATACCAGCTGTTCTACAGAGTAGCGGAGCTCAGCATCTTCTGTATATGCCAAACTGCAGTCCAAAATACCCAACAGGCCAAGTGGGAGCACGGTGCTTCTTCAGATTCATTCTACTGATTTATTCATATACCGTACAGTGATTTTAAGGGGAAAAAATATAACTACATACACAAAATGAAAGGGAATATTATGAACATGCTAACTTACTCGGTGTAACTGTCACTGTGGCTAAATTGTTCGTTTCATTTTCAAACTTCTTTGAAAAATGGATTTATTTTTATTTTAAATAAAAAACTAAAAGACACATTAAATCCACATGATTACGAGGCCAGTGCTTCTGGGATATGCAGTGTTATTTACTAGTATTTATCTCACAACTGGAAGCTACACCCACATGGAAAATAGGTCATGTTTTGCACTGCAAGGAATCACAAACAACCTGTTCCATGGAAGAATTAGCTGGGAGTAAACCAATTTTGTTTATACGGTTCATAGCTCAGGAGTTACGAATACTACAACAACAGCAACAAAACTATTCTCTTCTTTTTTTGATACATAGTAGAAATATTTAATAACACTTCGTGAAATACGTGACTATACTATGTTAGGCAGTTTCTCAGATACATTGCTAACAAACAGATAAACAAGCACACTGAAGCCAAAGAAAAGAAAAGCACAATCTCCTTTGTCAGTTGTACCAAACATCGCTTTTGTTTTTCCTGACTCTCTTCCACAGATGCACACATGTATACAGACGCACACGAGCTACCACACACAGAGAGACGTATCAATCAAGCTATTCCAGGAAGCCACAGAACAGAGAGGAGATAGGCAGTCCTGCTCTCAGATCCAGGTCTGCCAAAGAAAAGCTGTTGGCTGCTGCCAAGGTTGAATGAGCATATTGCCTCGTAATGGAAAAAGAATGAAGAAGCAGACACTGCACATTGTCTGAAACTCTATCGCATGATTCCTCTGTCTTCCCCTGCACAACAACCATGTCAGAGTGCCTGATAGCGACGGGCTGTGCGCACCTATATGCGCACCTGTTTGTTATATAGATAGTTGTGTTTGTGCCGTGATGTGCACGACTGAATTTTGTTCATTCACTTGACATCTGTTTGTATGACTGTGCTTAAACAACCGGGCAGCTGTTTCAGCAGTTTGATGAGAGACAAAGAAATGTTTAATTTCACCAAGCACAAAAAATAATAAATAAATAAGAATACTGTATATGCCACTATTCTTACACTGTATCCATCTGTACTCACCACTTCCTAGACACAAAACCAAATATTCCCCCATCAGAGAGGGAGAAATGGACCATGCATTGCAACATTTCACACAAAATTACTTTGTCATCACAGCAAATAATCTGTCTGAATGGGTTTATGCCCAAATATCTATTTGAATAATTTGTGATGAGTTTTACATGTCATAAATGAAGAGTTCACTGCGCATCACTGGGATTTGAGTGGAATTTTATTAGTTTATTTATTAGGCTATTTACTGTGGAAAGAGTTGATGAAAAGTGTGCATTTTTAGCAGTCTCCCTGGTGGAAATGTTCACACCAGACAGCTGCCAAGTACATTAACACTTTTCTACTGACTGCTCCTTGGGAACAGCTGGAGGTTAAGTGTTTTTCCCAAGGGCAGTCAGGCTGGTTTGGCTAAAAGAGAAAAGAGCTCTTCTTAGAAAACCAAGCCCACTGATTTAGTTCCTCGAATCGAGATTCTCCAGACATGTCTAACTACACTGAAATATGTCCACTGAAGAATGGATTAGATTTGTAATATTACACAAAGACCTCAGTTAGGTGTGGCTTCAGTTTGGAGCAGAGTCACAGTATATTATTTATCTTTGTAAGTGTCTGGAGAAGATTTTTAGCAAACTTCATTAGTATTCCAAGTTTAATAATCTGTTTTTATTTGTATCTGTTTATTTTATTTGCTTGTTTTCTTGCTTTTTGCAAGTAGGCATTAGTATTTTGTCACAATTACCCACCTTGCACACCTTAAAATTTGGTTTTATTTTTTGGCTTTTAACCCAAAGCTTAGATATTTGTCTCTATTTTTCTGATTCTTTGGATAAATGTATTGATGTGCATGAGGGCATAAGTTAGTCTTCTATTATTGAGTAACCCTCTGTCTCATGTGCACCACTGTGGTGTGCTTCATAAATAACATTAGATTGGATTAAATTAGTTGCGAGAGACTACTACGTGGGTTCGATCTTAGAGATAAAGTGAGGAGCTTGGTAATTCAGAAAGGGTTTGGCATAGAGCTGCTACTCCACTTTCAAAGGAGTCAGTTGAGGTAGTTCAGGCATCTGACTAGGATGCCTTGTGTCTCGAGAAGTCCTCCATGTTCTGCAGGGACAAAGGAGATGAAGGTCCTGGCATCTGAGCTTAGACTATGGAACCCACAGCGAATAATCAGATGGATAGATGTACGAACCAAAGAACAATCCGATAAAATTAAAGTGTAAAGTGCATTACACAGTTTGAGCAAAGTTTGTCAAAAATATTATATATTATTACTGGCGTCAGAGTATTGAAAAAGCTGTGGAAACCATATGTATACATCTACTTAAATGCTGAAATTGTTTTCATTTATATTTTTATATTAAAAATAGATCAACAGACAACCAAAGATTTCACACCAACAAAGAATTACCACAGAAATCTGCTCCCCTTGGTTTTACTGAGCCTTGTTGAATCTTGGGTCATTTCTTTTAGCTGTCTGGGCAACAACTTTAATGTTTAGGTTCACTTTCATCACTCTCTTAGTGTCTTTCTTGGTGGCAGGCAGCTCAGCACCTACTCATCACCAAACAGTAAACAAATACTGACAGCAATTATCAAGCAAACACAGGGAGCATTTAGTAGATAAAGAGCAAGATATTTCCCTCAGGAGCTGCGAGACACCAAAAACAAAGCTAAATAACAATGAATGAGCTTACCTTTACCACTTTGCCAGGCACAGGATATACTCCATAGGGCATTTAGCCAGGAATCTAGGGTTCAAGTCCTAGTTTTTTTGTTTTGTTTTTTGTCAATTAGTTTTGTATTATTTTTTGTCTTTTTTAATTACATATTTTAAAATTAATCATGGCTTTTGTTAAATTTATCTTAGTTATCTCCCCT